TCAGTACTATGTTGAATAAAAGTGGTTATAGGGGGCATCCTTGTCTGTTCTCCATTTTCTGAGAAAATGTTTCTAGTTATTCCTGTTGAGCATGATGTTGGCTGTTGGTTTTCATATGTGGCCTTTATTGTATTAAGGAATTTCCATTCGATTCCTATTTTGTTCCGTGTTTTTATCAGAAATGGGTGTTGGATATTGTCCAATGCCTTTTCTGTTGGCGAAGTATTTGGATGCACAAAAGACTTGTTTTTTGTAGGCCCCACTCATCCATTCTGTCTTCTACTATGTGTGTTTCCTTTGTTATATGTGATAGTATGTGTGTGCCCTGCAACATGACCCCTAGGTTTGTCTCTATTTCTCATTAACAATCTTTATAGCTCTGGGATTTACATCCATGGTCCTTGATCCATCTTGGGTTTGTTTTTGTACATAGTCTAAGGGATGGGTTCTTTGTCATTTTTCTTCAGATGAAGATCCAATTTTACCAGCACCATTTATTGAAGAGCTCTCTATCATTTAATGTTGTTTTTGTTGTTTTTTTCCCCTAATCAAATATCAGTTGTCTGTAGGTGAATGTATATATTTCTGAGGTTTTTTTTCTGTTCAATTGATCTATTTACTTGTCATTGTACCAGCACAAAGATATTTTGGCTATTAGGGCTGTGTAATAAAGGTTTTGAGGTTGGCTAGTGCAAGGCCTCTGACTCTACTCTTTCTACGGAGTTCTTTGCTTATCTTATGTCTCTCCCCTCTCCATACGAAGTTAATAATTTTTCCCCCATTTCTTTAAAGAATGATGTTGGGATTTGGACTGGAATTGCACTGCAATTATAGATTGCTTTGGGTAGTATTGACATTTTCAGGATATTAAGTTTCCTAGTCATAAACGTGGCATAGTCTTCAATGTGTAGGTCTCTCTTGATTTCCTGTAAAATTGTTCTGCTGATTTCCTTGTACAGAACTTTTCTTTCTGGTTAGGCTTAAACCTAAGTATGTAATCTTTTATGTGACTATAGTAAATGACATTTTTTTTCTTCATACCTTTTTAGAACTCTCTTCATACACAGGAATTTGATTGATAGCTTTTTTTCTCCCAACATTTGGGGGTGGGGTTGGGTTCTACATGGAAAATCTTATCATCTGAAAATAGGGAGAGTTTTGCTTTTTCTTTGCCAATCTGGATTCCTTTGATTTCTTTTTATTGTCTAATTCTTCTGGCTAACACATCTAACATAGTCCTGTGTAGGAGTGGTGATAAGGGGCATCCTCGTCCGTTTCCCATTTACAAGGGAAATGCTTTAATTTGTACTTGTTAAAGAAGATGTTGAGAGGTTTTTTAATATGTCCCCTCTGATCTTATTTTGCTGAGCATTTTTATCTGGTATGTGCATTGAACATTGACAAATATCCTTGATTCATCAATTGAATGATCATATCATTTTATCCTTTGTTTTATTTATGTTATGGATTACATAGACTGTTTTTTCTAATGTTGAATTATCCTTGTGTGCCTGGAATTAATGCTATGTGATAATCGTGTGTAATTTTTAAATATATTTTTAGATTCTATCGGCCTGTATTTTGTGATGTCACCTCTTTCATCTCTTATTCATGATATTTGTATCTTCTCTTTCTTTTCCTTTGTTAAGTTTGCTAGTGATTTGCCAGTTTTGTAAATCATTTTGCAGAATCGCCATCATGTCTTTTTAAATTTTCTATTGTTTTTCTGTTTTCTAATTCATTTATTTTCACTCTTAGCTTTATGATTTATTTTCTCGTGGTGACTGAAGGTTTAGTTTGCTGCTCTTGTTCTAGTTGAAGATGCTGGATTTGGTTCTCTCTGCTTTTTATTGGTTCTCTTGGCTGATATTGGTTCTCTCTGCTTTTTTATCAAGGGTGTACTTATTGCTGTCAGTTACCCTCCGAGGACTGTGTTTGCTGTGTTACAGAGGTTTTGATTTGTTGTGTTTCCACTACCATTTGTTCCAAGGAAGTTAAAATGTTCATTCCATATCTCACCACTCAGTAGTTTTTAAACAGTGTTGTTTGGTTTCTGTGTAGTTGCTTTTTTGTCAGTGCTCTACCTATTGTTGTTTTCCAATTTTATAGCTTTGTGGTCTACTAAAATGTATTGTAAAATCTCAATATTTTCTGATTTATTAAGGCTCATTTTGTGTCCTAATATATAGCCTATTCTAGAGAATGTTCCCTGTGGAGTGGAAAAGAATGTACACTGTGTTGTTGGGGGAAGTCAAGTTGGTTAATTGTCTTGTTTACTTTTTCTTAGTTCTTCAGTTCTGTGAACTTGGTTGACTTATTTTGATGGCTTATTTTGTTTATTTTGGCTATATTTTCTAGGCCTATTGTCCTTTTAAACATTTGCAGTGCCCTTCTTTTTCTCTCATTTTACCTTCAGATGTTTTGTTGGAGATTAATCTTTCCACTCCTGTTTTGGTTTTTGGTGACCTTTAACATGATATATATATCATATATATCATGATCATATATCATATAACATCACATATATCAAATATATATATTAAGTATATATATTTCTATCCTTTGATTTTTAGTATGTTTTGGGTTTTGTGTTCTTGCTATGTTTCTTGTAAGCAGCATATTGATGGGTTTTATCTTCTTATCCAGTCTGTTAGTCTGTTTCTTGTCTGGTGCCTTTAATCCAGTAACATCCCTTTTTCAGGTTGTTACACGAGTTTTATTTCATGCTTTCTCGATGAGGTGTAAGTTTTTCCTCTTGATAGTGCCTACACAATTCTTGGGTTTTCTTCAGACTGCTTTGCTCTTTCTGTTGATTGTTCCTCCCATAACCTGGAGCCATGAGATTTCTTTCAAGCTCACTAATTAGGCTTTCCATTGCTTCAATTCTATTACCCCATTTTAAAAAATGTGTCATTTTGTCATTTTAGTATTTATCTTTTGCTTGACTTTCTGTTTGGTGTTTCTCCGGAAGGGTTTGCATTTTTTTTCTAGTTTTTGTGCTCTTTCTGTTGTCCTCACCAGTTCTTTCCCTTTGAGAGTACCCGGTCATCATTGTTCTGAACTATTGTCTTAGCGGCTCCCGAGCCTTTACTTGTTGAGTAAATTCCTTAAGATCTGAGTGTTATTCAGTTGTTTGTGCCTGCTTTCACTTTTTACGTGTGTGTGTGTGTGTGTGTGTGTGTGTGTGTGTGTACTGATGTTGTCTGTTGTGTGTCTCTTCAACGACTGTTACAGCTGTTAAGGGTAGTAGGAGGCTGGGTTATGTGAGGAAGTTAATGCCATCAAGTGGTGTGTAAGAGAAATAATAGAAAGTGGCCTGATTCACCATCTCCCATGGTCTTTGGAGCTGGGTCCTGGTGAGTGGGAGGAGGCCATGGCAAGAAAGTTTCCAGAAGGAAAGCAGAGCATGCTGCCCAGTGCTTTGCATGTAACTACGTGCTGCACAATGAACCCAAGCAGCCCACCAGTGTGATAATGATTATTTTATGTGAACGAAAATCAAAACCCTAATGAAGACTTTAATTATGTAAATAAATTAACATATTTAATAAAAATGATGAGGAGTGGAGGGTTAAAATAATTTCCCATGGGAAATGGTTGAAGTTACTATTTTTTCTTTTAGTCTAGAGATTATATAGATTATAAAGATAGATGTCTTTAAAGAATTAAAAAAGACAAAATTAGTTTTATTTCTTTATTTTAATGGTGTCAATTCTCTCTCCTGAAATGTCTTACTCTCCCTTCTCCCAAGTACCCCTCACATTCCTAGACACCCATTGTTTATCTCAGGAGGCTTTCTCCCCTTCAATTCTTCACTGAGTGTACCGACTATGCTGGCCCCTCTTAGCCCAGGTTGCTAAAGTAGCACCCCCTTCAACGAAGTTGAGGCCTCTTTGAAAGTAGAACATACAATGTACTCATTTGTTACTATAATGTGTATTTTGTTAACTCTCACCAATTATCTATAGATTTCCTGATTTCTAATCTTGAGTCATGACACTTGGTTAGAATTGGAAGCAGTATGGAATGCTCAAAACTCTTATTTCCCACAGATTTCATAGCAAGACTTGCCTTCTGATGTCAATGATGTCTCAAAAGAGTAGCAGATTTTGTTATCGCTTTACATCCAAACCTATATTTTTCTACTCCATAATTATTTGATGAGTAGCATAAACTGTTAGATTTACATAGCTCAGATAATTCTCAAGACAGATAGTATTTGATGCTGGATGACTGTCATCATTTAAACATGAAGAAGTTTATTTTAAAAACAAAAAATAGCTGATGCATGGAAATGCAGAATGTGATTTGAAGGCACAAGAAACATTGGAGAGTTATTGCTCTACTCAGCATTCGTGTCTATCCATTTTCATTCTTACTGGTGTGCTCCAAACAATTTCCTTCCCAAATTGCTCTGTGGACCTATAGTGAAAAATCAACCCTTATGCCTGTCTTACTTTTCCCTACCCGTGAATAAAAGGTAAAAGCTATCATTATATGAATGTTATACTTTAATAAAAAAATTTCAGCATCCAGGTAAATAAGTTTTAATTAAAACAGTAACTTCCGATGTAGATGTGTTCCTTATTTTTCATGTATGATTGATTCTCTGTGCACCCACGGAGGGCACAACTGTGATCATTATCACTGTGATCATTATCCAGTCTATGTTCCGAAAGGTCCCATGACCCTAAGAGGGAGAGAGATGGGTCAGGAAAACATTTATACAACATAAAGCTGTTGCTATAGACTGAGTTAGCCACAGGAACAGATAACCATATTTCATTATGTTTAGGGTGATGGTGGAGTCAGACTAAAAGGAGGCTTCTATCCTCTGAATCTTGAATATTGCAGTTTAGTAGATTCATTTTTACTAGTTCTAGATACACTCAATATTACCCTGAATCTAGACTCAGGAGCAGTGATATGAGAAGGCCAGAGATCTCACAGCAACGTGCTACCATGTCTCACCAACAGCCTGTTTTCTGCTCTGGCCATAGGAACGCCTTCACAGACATCTTGCGGGCCATCCTGCTCTCACTGGAAGTCCTTATTGAAGATGCAGAGCTTCAGATAAATGGTTTCATTTTAATTATAGACTGGAGTAATTTTTCCTTCAAACAAGCCTCCAAACTAACACCTTCCATCCTCAAACTGGCCATTGAAGGGTTACAGGTATGTCCAACAAGTGTACAATATAAGGCTATCCATGACACCTACATTTTCCGTGTTATTGCTACCAGGGTAGTATTTGTCTTCAGTATGGAAAAGGAAAATTTTGAATAAAATTTATTTGTGATGCGCCATATGTTTACTTTAGTCTGAGTTGTTTTTGTTTTGTTACCAATTATGTTGGGGGAGGGTGGTTATATTTCAGATTATCAACTATGCATTCAACAGTTCAAACTACTCATCCATCCCATCCTCGTATTCTATTCCACCCCCTCTTCCCTGCTTTCTCTTCTCTTATGGACCTCTTTCTATGCTTTTTTAAAAATCCTTCATTTCCATTAATAACTTGGAATTGAGTTGCCACAGGCACAAACTACCTAGTATAGCAGTTATGCATAAAGCTAAGAGATATCAGCCCAATCCATTCGAAAGTTCACTGAAACTAAAATTAGAAAATATCTGCTTTATAAACAAGTCCTACATAGAGGTCGCATGGGGTTTTCTAGTTTTTTTCAGAGGCATTTTTGTACCCCAGAAATGTACCTTGTGTATGGTCACTTCCTATAGTGTACTGTGCTCTTTCAGTGTTTGCACTCAAGTGTTTTCACTTGGTGCAAAAGAAACAGACAAGACTCACCTCCAGGTTGTATAACCAAGTGTCAGGAAATTGGGGAAGGGATTTTTATGCTATGTGAAGGTTAGGGTAGTCAGTCTCTGGATTTCCTTCTATAGATAGCATTTTATCTTTTTCTTAAAGATGTATTTATCTTAAAACTTTTCTTGCATTTTGATTAATTCCTTTTATAAAACTTCTATTTTCCTATGAGAACTCACCCAAAGTGGTAACCCCCTTTCCATAGATGCTGCTATAAACAGGCTCTGGAAATAAAAGAAATATGGATATTGGATAATTCTCAGATTAAGAATCTGTTACTAATGTCTTCAAAGTACGAGACTGAGAGAGCCATGGTCATGATACTTCAGTGTGCGGAGTGCTGCTTTATTTATTGTTAGGTCTTGGCCAGTTTCCAGCCTGGTAGCCCTTTGATAAACCATTTCATTTCTTATTCATCATATTTGCTTTTGTTCTCCTACTTTTCACTTGTTAGGTTTGCCATTAAAAAATGGTTTGAAAACTAATTTCTTGTCTTACTAATTTTTTTAAATTTTCTGATTCATTTATTTCTCCTCTGATATTTATTATTTCTTTGTTTCTGTATCTAAGGGTTTCTTTTGCTAGTCTTGTTCTAATTGTTGTAGGCTATGTATTGTTTATTTTAATTAACTATTTTTATGGGTACACTTATTGCTATAAATTGCCCTCTTTTCTGTTGTGTTCCAGAGATTTTGATGTGTTGTATTTTCATTCTAATCCGTTCAAGTAGTTTTTAAACTGTGTTCTATGTTTCTTTAATCACCCAGTGATTTTAAAGTATTGTTCAGGTTCCACATAATTGAATTAGGGGAGGGTATTTATTGGCCTGTGGTTGATTTCTAATTTAATAGCATGGTGATCTGAAAAGAGAGTGTGTAGTATCTCAATGTTTTGAAATTGATTGATGTGTATAACCTAACACATATTCTTTTCTAGAATACATTCCATTTGCACTAAGGGGGGAAAATGTGTATTGAGTTCTTATTGGGTGATGCATTCTGTATATACATATATAAGAGGACCTGTTGATTAGTTGTGCTGTTTAGTTCTTGTGTATCTTTGTTGATTTTCTTTCTTGATCTTTTTTTGCTTAAAAATGATGTATTAAAGTCTTGTAATATTATGTTATGGTCTATTTGGCTCTTCAATTCTATAAGATTTTAATTAGTGTATTTTAAGAATCTCTAAATGGGTTCAAGTGTTTGTCATGGTTATATGTTCTCACTTAAGTATTGCGTGCATCATTATATAATGACCTTCTTCGTTTATCTGATGATGTTTACTTTCATGTCTACTTTGTCAGGAATTAAGATTGCCACTCCTGCTTTCTTTTGACTACCATTAGCTTGATATATTGTTTCACCTTTTGATTTTTAGTCTGTTTTTGTTTATAACTAATGCATACTTCTTGTGAGTAGCATATTAAAGGTAATGCTTTCCTGTCCATTATATTAGTTTCTATCTTTGAATAGGTGGATTTAATCCATTTACATTCAATGTTGTTATTGATAGGTATGGTTTTGTTGCTATCATTCATTTCTTGTTTTTATCATGTTATTGGTTTCTTTGTTCATCATAATTTTATGTACTGCTTTTCTTTTATGAACTTTCTTTATTGTTTTTTTTTTTGTTTTTATCTTACTGTTTAACAGACTTTTATGATTTCCCTCTTTTTTACTTTGTTTGACTTTTAGAATTTTCCTTGAAGTTTGTTTGCTTTTTTATTGATTGCTTTCCAAGTTTAAGACAGCTTGTTGTCTTATGGGAATGAATTGCCATATGCTCCATTTGACTGTTTATAATCTACTGGTTCCTACTATTTTTGTTGTTGATGTCTTCATAGTGAAAAATGTCTGTGGTTCCTTATTTTGATGCATATAGTTTTGTTTCACTTTGTGAATGATATACTTTCATTTAAGTATTATGATTTCTGGATAACAATATCTTGTATAATGATGTAAGTTGCTATTAGAATCAGCTACATGGCAACTATATTGGGTTTTGTTTAGCTTTCGTAAATTGGGTCAATTTTAATGGATTTTTCACTTATTTAATAAAGATTTTTAAAAATTTAAACACCTATATGTTCAATTGAACTGTAAATATGATCAAGAAGAATGTTGAGCTTCCAATAACTGATTGTGATAGATGAAAAGCAAAACACAGGAAAACCGTATTTATTGTTTCTCTTTATTGCATCTTACAGATGGATTGCAATATTTATAAATTGAAGATTTGTGGCAACCTGTTATTGAGTAAATGTACAGCATGCCATTTTTCTAATAACATCTGCTCACTTTGCATCTCTGTGTCATGTTTTGGTAATTCTCACAGTATTTTTAAAATTTTCATAATGCTGTAATACACTTAGTATAGCAGTGTATACTTATTGTGGAGTACTTAGGGCATTAAATATATACTTAGTAGACCACAGTCTAGTGTCAATATAATATGATATGCGATGGGAAGTCAGAAAATGCATTTGACACCCTTCATTGCAGTATTCACTTTATTGAGGTGGTCTGGGACCAAACATGTAATATCTCCAAGTATCTATTTTTTGCCTTCAATAAACATAGGCAAAAAAACTCCTTCAGGTTGCTTCAAGGTTAAAAGGATTTGCTTTTATCCTATAAGAGATAAACAGGAGAGAGAGAGATGAATATAGACCAGAGGGAACTACTATTATCAAAAAGGAAAAAAAAAAAAGTTGATTATATCGTTTGGACCTGGGGTTCCTGTGCTTAGAACCTCCTACACCAAGGAGAAGATTCATGCCAAGCCAAATGGAGAGCTCCACGGAATGCTATGCTTACAGATGTTGAAAGGAGACATGGATAGTCTCTTGGGCAACAGATAGAGGAAATCTTTTCCTAAGTGTCAGTGCTCTGAATTCAGACTTCTAGCCTCCTAAATAGTGAGAGAGTAAATTTCCCTTTGCTAAAGTCATCTACTTGTGGCATTTCTGTTATAGTAACTCTTAAGAACTAAACTAGTGCTTTTCCTACAACTTCTCAGATTTCCTGTGCTAACTGCTAGCTCTGCTTTGGACATGTAGATGACCAGTCTCTGGAAAAGGATTTCATGTCTGGTAAAAGAAAGTCAGTGTAAAAGAGGAACACTGTCAAGGAAATGGTTCGACACAGTGGTGCTAACAATGCGCTCACACATAACAACAATTCTGAGGACCATTCAGGGCCAGAAAGTATTTTTCTTTTTGTTGTATTTAGGGTCAGGATCGCTATGTGTGGGAACCATCTGCTATCATCTAATAATAGTAACTTTTGTATTATTTGAGTTTAAAGTTATGTGAATGGATTCTATTGGTCATGTTGAAATATGTCATATATTAATAATATAACAAAAAGGTCTCTTTAAGAAAATGAAAAACCCAGAAATTAAACACAAAACCTTTTCTTACAAATTAATCGGTCTTATTCTCTTTTATTTATTTAGGTTCCCATTAGGTCTTTTAAGCCTGGCCTATTCACTCCTTTGATTGGGAGCGTAGATAAATAGCCATGCTGATGAAAGCCTTGAAGATTTAGGGTGTTCTGGCAGCAGTCTAGAGACCATTCTTTCCCCATTCAATCTGGGCATGTGCCTCTGGGACTCCGGTTTTCTCCATACACCGAGTGATTGACTCGGTTGATACTGTCCTCAACCCGTTGAACTCTCAAGTAGACCAACCACTGTCGTGTTTCTGTGTCTCATTGAGATAAATAGCACTGAAGTGCCAGCTGGTTTAATCCAGGCAAATTTGTCACTTTCTTTTCCTCATTTAAAAATAGTGGTTTATATATTGTTTCATTTATTAATGTTGTTATGTAACATTTAAATCTCTATTCCATCTTAAATTTATTTTTGTGCTTGAGGTAAAGCATAGTTCCTGTTTCATTCTTTCACAGATGCAGATCTGATTTTCCAGCACCATTTATTGAAGAGGGTGTCCTTTTACCATTTAATGTTTTTTGGTTCTATGTTGAAAATCAGTTGGTTATAGGTGGATGATTTTATTTCTGGGTTTTCTATCCTGTTCCATTGGCTTATGTATCTATCATCATACCAGGACCAGGCCATTTGGACGATGATGGCTGTGTAGTAGGTCTCGAAGTCAGTTACTGCAAACCTTCTATTTTCTTCTTCTTTTTGAGAAGCTCTTTTCATATACTGAGTCTCTTAACGCTCCATATGAAGTAGGGAATTCGTTTTTCCATTTCTTTAAAGAATGGTGTTGGAATTTGTATAGGAATTGTATTTGTAGATTACTATAGGTAGTATTGACATTTTCACAATATTAAGCCTACCTATCCATAATTATGGGAGATTCTTCCATTTGTGTAGGTTT